AAATATTCGTGCTTCGTAAGGGCGATGGATAGGGATGAAGTTTTTGGAGAAGAGGGTTTGCTTTCAACTAGGGTGGACAAATCAAATGGAACAATGCTCTGTACACCACTTTTGTACACTACTTAATGTGATACCAGACTAACTATCGAATATTTGATAATATTTTGTGTGACTTACTAATTTAATGATGTTTATTAAGATAGTGCACAAAGATGGTGCCAAAGTGGTGTGAATAGTATTGTTGAATAAGTGTTAAATATGATAGGAAATAAAAAGTAAAACCTTAATATTATTAAATATTAAGTTTTAGATTTGGTGGTCTTTTTGTCATTTGCCTAATGTCAAGGGTCTTATAATATATATATATATATATATATATATATATATATATGTTGTCTTAGACAATTTCTTTCGCTCCGAGTTGTTATTAAGTTCAATAGAGAAGGCTACGCGACGCGTACGATGCACCGAGCGAGGCAAAGAAGAAGCCAGGCGCAAGAAACGCAATAGATGGCGCACATTAGCTGAAAGAAAACTTTTGCCGCGATCGCAGAGAATTTCTCGATCATCAGATCCTGTACTCTCTCTCTTCCCCGAGCGTAGCATCGTCGAGAAAGAGAGTCGATTGCTTTAGAAAGAGAGTCGATTGCTTTAGAAAGAGAACGTAAAGAGAAAGGGAGAGAGGAGAGAGGAGAGAGAGAGAGATGTGGGTGTTCTATCTGATATCGCTGCCTCTAACACTGGGCATGGTGATATTTACTCTGAAATACTTCGCCGGTCCATACGTACCTCGATATGTATACTTCACCGTAGGATACACATGGTTCTGCTCTATCTCCGTCATCATCCTCGTCCCTGCTGACATTTGGACGGTACTTTCCCAATTCCTCAGTTTTCCTTTCACTTGCTTTTGTTTCCTGAGTTTTTTGTCACTGCATGGGAACTATGAATCGTAGTTGAGTTTATTTGGTTTAAGTTTATATCGTTTTGAAATATATATGGTGTCAATTAGGGCTTTGTTCTTAGTTAAATTGATAATTATTGTTGCATTGGGCTAATTTGTTTACTGGGGCGTAATTAATTTGACCTGCCTTATTAATTACATAATATTAGCGTATTTTTGCAAGAAGCTTGCGTTAACTCTACTTTTCCGCGTACTTTTTTCTAATATTTGCTAAGTTGATCAAAAGGAAAAGGAGTTTGAAAGAATTTGGGGTTTTGAAAAAGGATGGTCAGGAGGAGAGTTGAGTTATTCAACTTGGTTTTGTTGTATGCATTCTATGCTTGAAACTTTGAGCTGTAGTTGAGTGTATTAAATGCTGTCTGGGCAAGATTAGTGAAATTCTACTAATACTTGGACTTAGGTGGCATCAACTTGGGTGTTGGAATCAACCACAAGTGAAGAAATGGGGAACGTGTGTTGGAATGAAAGTCAATTGCTTGAAGGCCAGATATATCAGTGGTGTGGTGCATATATGATATGTGGGTCCTGTCGTAAAGAGTTTGGGAGAATTTTTTTGAGAATAAAGATATTAAATTTCGTTGATCTTCCTTATTTCTTTCTTCTTTTGGGTTGTTTCAACTACCCTATAGCTTGTGGAATATGAGCCTTAGTTGCAGGAATTTGGTAATCTCCTGTACATGTTGCATTGAGTTTTAACTATGGGCTAACTCAGATGTTAATATTGAGATGGACGGATTGCACGGGAACTATTAATGATAAAGAAAAGCTTGCTTGACCTTGGTAAGCAGGAAAAATTGAAGGTTTGAAAATTAAGGTGGAGTTCTATGATTAAATGGTTAGGATCTGGGGAAACAGCAGTATCCAAAACAAATATGAAGAGTAAAGATTCATGAAAAAATGAAGAACAAAGAGAGGAATGAAAATGAGAAGATCCCTTTAGAATATAACATNTCTGGGGAAACAGCAGTATCCAAAACAAATATGAAGAGTAAAGATTCATGAAAAAATAAAGAACAAAGAGAGGAATGAAAATGAGAAGATCCCTTTAGAATATAACATACTTGGTTGAAGATCATTCCATGCCATTGTCCTACAAAACTTGCGTTTACCATTTATGAAACATGATCATTATAAATGAAACTTGAGAGACAGACGCTTTCTGCAAAATGTGTTTCTTGGATTTGCTTGGCTTTATCTTTTGGTGTTCATTTTCACTTGGTTTTACTTCATGCTAGTTTGTGTGTCTCTCCTTTGGATTCTTATCTTTCTTTGGACAATAAAGTTAACACATTAACCAAACATGTGTGAAAAAAATGAACAAACTCCACCATCAGATCTCTTTAACTGCATTTTAGCCACATTCCAACAATTCTGGAAGCTAGGAAGCACGGATACTTCCACAAGGGAGCCGTGTTAGTGTCGGACACGGATACGGTCTCAGACACATGTCCGACATGGCTAGAAATGTCTTGAATAGTGAACTTAGTCGGACATGCCTAGGACATGAACATAAATTTTTCTTTTAAAAAAAAATAACTTTTAACTATTAAAAAGATTGTGATTTTTACTTTTTTAAATATATTTTTTGTTATGTAACTTATATATTATGAATGTTAATGGATGTCATGATGTTTGATGAAAATAGTAGATATTTAGTTTGATCTATTTCAATTTTAATCCAAAAAAAATAATATTTGTTAGATCTTATTATTAATATTGTTATAATATATCTTTTATTTTGAATATATAACAACACTATTATTATTTAAAAAATATATTATATTATTTTAATAGCCGCATCCTTACTGTACCTGTGTTCTATCTTTTTAAACTTTGTCGAATTCCTGTATCCGTATCGTATCGGATACGACACCAGTGCCCATATCCGTGCGTCCTAGTCTGGAAGTTAGGCACCTTTTGATTCTTATCTTTCTCGCCTTCAGGGTGCAAATGTTTCCTGTTTTCTAACGTTCATGATTTCTTTATTGTTATGCAGACGATAATTGGTCATGACAATGGAGGAATCTCTTTCTTTTGGAGCTGGTCGTATTGGAGTACATTTTTGCTTACTTGGTATGCGTTGTGTAAAATTGTGGGCCCAGGCCTCTATTTCCTTTTCTGTTCTGTATTATACCCCAATTGACCAAAGTTGGTTAGGGTTTACTTGAAGATTGCTAGTATTTAATTCTCTGGGAGGTTTGTTTGTTGTGTTGTGGAACATTAACTACCCTTCGTCGAGGTTATCAACAGATGTATGCTGAGTATCAAACGTGTGTATATAGGGATTTATTGTAGGTGAATACTTATACTTGTACTTATGCTGCCCCTCTCCCTAACTAACTGGGTATAGGTTAGTGGTGAGCAAATCCTTATGTAATTAAAGTGTGCTATTTCTTTGATCAGGCTAGTGGTGCCCCTTATTCAGGGCTATGAAGATGCTGGAGACTTCACAGTGATGGAAAGATTGAAGACTAGTGTACATGTAAACTTGGTCTTCTATTTAGCAGTGGGATCCGTCGGCCTTTTTGGGCTTATTCTCCTCATTACTATGCAAAAACCTAGGTTTGTTTCTCACCTCTGAACTTGTTCATCTTTGTTGTTTAATCAAATGTCTTCTTTTGTGGTTGTTGATGTCTGTAGACTTTCAGTCAGCTGTTAACTTATGTACTGTCCCATGAAAAGCTTCCTCACAGAAGAATCATTTATTGTCTCATTTCACCATCTGCTTGTGTGCTATTTTTTGGGGTCATCTCCTGCATATTAAATTTATTAGTTAGTTTTTAGCTATGTGATTAATTTTTGAAAACAATGTTTACATGTTGAGGGCTCAATAAACTGATTTTTTTTTCCCGGATATTTGGGGCTGAGGGTTTGTGAACTATAGTAGAATTGAGGTGACACTGTGATGAAGATCGTGTAGGAATTGGATAGATTGATTATGATAGTTATTTAGATACTTTTAATATTTATCGTTTAAGTAATTTTTTTTAATTTTTAAGGGTTTAGTTGTCATTATAACTATTTATTTCTTTTAGAGTTCTTTTAGGATTTGTGCTCTCCCTATATATATAGGGAATACGGGATTTGTTTTGGTAGACTTTGATTATTGATATTGAATTTTCTTTCTAAAATTCTCTCTATTTTCATCTCCTTCTTTTCTCATCCCTTCTCATCTTTAATTCTTCCCTAATATGATCTACATCAATTTGGTATTAGAGCCTAACTTCGATTTGGAAAAAGGAAAAAAAAAAAAACGAAGTTACTGTTCATCGCACTGTTCACGCGTGCACTGTTAACCCAAAAAAACTGTTCATTCAAAAACATTGTTCATCAGTGAAAAAAAAAAAAAATTTGTCTCAGCAGATTAAAAAATTACAAAAAAATCCTAGTTGTTCCAGAAATTACAGAAACACCCTAGAAAGTTGCAGAAGCTGCAGAACTACCCCCAGAAATTTCAAAAATTACAAAATCTTCCCCTAGAAGTTTCAAAAATTGCAGAATCATTCCTAAATGTTTCAGAATTTTTTCTTGATTATGGTATGCATACTCCTATGAAATTTGAGACTAATATTTTTATTCATTGAAAAATTAGAGAATTTGCAAAGGATTGAAAACATATTTTCTTCTATTTAAGTTTTCTCACTTCTCATAATTATTAATTACATTCTTGAACTCATTTTTATGTTATTCTCATCTTTTAAAGTCAATCATGAGTTCATATGATCATTATGATGCCTATTCATATACTTATCCAATATCAAGAATGTCTCAAGTTCATAGTTCTCCACAACGTCATCATTATACCTATTCCACTCTTAGAACTTCTCGGAGTCATCATAAAGTCTATAATAAGTTTGAGTTTTATTATGAAGATTATCTAGAATACTACTCAGGGACACTTTGGTCACATAACAGTTACCAACATCATGCTTCCTAAAGTCGTCATCAAGGTCAATCTGGATCAATTTTCAATGTTATTAGTGACCATTCAAAAGCCCAAATTGCCCTAGGAAAAAAGGTTGAGATATTTGAAATTGAAGTTGCTAATACTAAACATTCACTCGGTCAATTATGTGAAGAATGTAGAGGGGTAAAAAACCAATTATCTGAATTAACAAGTCAACTTTTTCACTTGAATAAAATTTTTGCAAGTCAGCAAATGGAAGAAAATAATGATAGTCATATTTCTGTTCGGACACCCGCATAATGATAGTCATATTTATGTTCCATTGGAGCCTCATGCTTTACATCCTTCAAAACATACTTTCAATCGTTTGAGCATTGATACTAGTGATGAGATTATTTTTGATCTTATCATGTTTCCTACCTCATCGGTGCCAAAAGTTGAATCACCACTAAGCATTGAACTTGAGGAAAAGTTCATTCAGTTAGTTCCTATGCAAGATATTGAGCATATTGAGCTATCTATTTTACAATCTGTTGGCAATTATTCTATCTGTATTATTCCGAATCATGATGGCATTGTTGTGGATTTTTCTTCATTTGAGATTATTGATTTTGTTTCGGATTCTTCTCCACCTGAGATTGATGACATTGTTCTAGATTCTGCCCCACTTGAGATTGTTAACTTTGATTCTTTGCCTACTGTCAAGTGTTCAATTGAGTCTATACTTTCTTATTTTCAGCACCAAAGTGTTATAATCACTCCTTTATCATTGATGTCTTGTTCCGTTGAATGTCAGTTGTTCAAATCTAATGAGAATTATTTTGTTATTCTTGAGTTTGGATCTAATGCTTATTTGCTTAATTTTTTATTGAATGTTAGTATTAGTCCAGATTTTTATTTGGAGGACATACTACTTAATCGAGGTATTCCGGAGTTTCCTATTTTGTTATCAGGTGTTTCTACAAGTGGAATTGTTTCTTCCTCAGCATTCGCTCCAGCTCTTATCTTTCCACTTTCATCGCGTATTTCAGGACAAATAGATAATGTGTTACGTGATCAGAATTACATTGCTACAGATGAAAATTCTTGCATTTATTCTGAGCGATGGAAAGATATTAATGGTTCTTTCATTCTAGATGAGACATTATGTCATCTTCATCTTCCACTCTNGGCAAATAGATGATGTGTTACGTGATCAGAATTACATTGCTACAGATGAAAATTCTTGCATTTATTTTGAGCGATGGAAAGATATTAATGGTTCTTTCATTCTAGATGAGACATTATGTCATCTTCATCTTCCACTCTTGGGGTACTTCTACTTTGAAGACTCTCCGGAGGAGAGTTTTTTTCAACCGGAGGAGAATGATGAAGATCGTGTAGGAATTGGATAGATTAATTATGGTAGTTATTTAGATACTTTTAATATTTATCATTTAAGTAATTTTTTTTAACTTTTAAGGATTTAGTTGTCATTATGACTATTTATTTCTTTTAGAGTTCTTTTAGGATTTGTGCTCTCCCTATGTATATAGGGAATATGGTATTTGTTTTGGTAAACTTTGATTATTGATTATTGATATTGAATCTTCTTTTTAAAATTCTCTCTATTCTCATCTCCTCCTTCTTCTTCTTTTCTCATCCCTTTCATCTTCCCTTCTCATCCCTAATTCTTCCCTAATACGATCTACATCACACTGCCTTCTTGTACTTGGACCAGGTGGCATGTTATTTGTTGGATTAGCTGGGTCTTCAGCTCTTCTTGCAGACTCTTATGAGGCCCATATGTTGAGCAAGATCAAGGTAGTTTTTTTCCCCCACTTTTTGGTTGTCATCGACTCTAAGGCTAGGAGGGCCCTGGCGCTATGCCCACTTTATGGATGAATTTTGGGATCTATGCAGGGCTTTAAACATGCATTTTAGTTGGTCCCTCCATCAACAAAAAGCTGATTTGTTGAGGGGAGAGAAGTAATCAACATTCTAAGGATGTAGTCGGTTTTCAAACTCTTAATAAGGCCACTTTGTACANTCTATGCAGGGCTTTAAACATGCATTTTAGTTGGTCCCTCCATCAACAAAAAGCTGATTTGTTGAGGGGAGAGAAGTAATCAACATTCTAAGGATGTAGTCGGTTTTCAAACTCTTAATAAGGCCACTTTGTACACTTGGATGGCGCCCTTGTTGAATTTGAAAATTCAATGTGAGGGATGTTCCCTTTGAAACTTTGGACAGTAGTGTATTGCAGATGTAGGAGTTGTGTCATGTTTCATTTGAAGGAGAATCAGTTGTCTGGTGGTTTGGTTGGCCTATTACAGCTTGTGGCATTTGGACCACACTTGCAAGAAAGATGATAGGATTTTTTTCTCTGACAGTGAAGAAGAAATAGTTGGATGGTTAGATCAGGAAATCAGAAGTCTTATATCGTCTCAGAAGTCATTTGGAGTCCATTCTATCCTCTCTGAGATTGATGATGATGGCTAGTCGAGGTTATCTCAGGAATTGAAGTCTTCTATGTACCTTTATTGTGTCTTATTCCTTAATATTCCCCTTGCTGATAGGACCGCTTACTTTGGAAGAGAGATTTAGGAGTCAGATGCCTCAGTGTTGTATACTTGTGTCCTGCTTTGTGCAATATTTTCTTTTGTTCATTTATTTTGCAATAATTTTAAGGAATCCTTTTATGTTTTGTATCCTCTCTTCCAATGAGCTTCTGTTTACCATAAGCCTTATAATGTTCCAAAAATATCATAATTGAGGACAAATACAGGAGCAAGTGGTCTATAGTAAAAGTGATTGCAGGATCCTGATCTTTGGTAGTGACACCTTAGGTGCAAGACACTGAACTTCAAAATATGGAGTTTCCCACAATCAGGATTTACATTATATTGCTGATTGTGATTGTTTGTTTATTTTTGACATTTCTAATTGTTTCAGTTTGGTGGTTGTTGCCAATTTTTTGTTGGATATTTAAATGTATATGGTGGTCCGAAATCATGGTTCCATATGGTGTTACAAAACTAGCAAGAATAATAATTTCTCACTAGGTATTCAATTATTTGCTTTCTTATTTATTTTGTCAATATCTTCAGTGACAGGAGTATATTGGGGTTTCCCATGGCTTGCTCGAATACTTTTGGACTTGTTACAGGTGCATTTCTTCTTGGTTTTGGTTTGAGCGAGATTCCGAAGAGCATTTGGAGAAATGCTGACTGGATCACTCGCCAAAAGGTTCTTTCTCATAAAATTGCCAAAATGGCTTTGAAACTTGATGACGCGCATCAAGAGCTATCAAATGCCATTGTTGTAAGTGCTTTCTGATGCCAATTTTGAAGTCATAATTTTGCAAATTGGTCTACAGAAGCCATATAATACTTTCAAATTTTTTTTTTTTGGTTGTTATCTTGTTTGGTTTCATTATGTTTTCCTAGTGGTGTTTGTTTTAATATCTAAATTTGGTTTGCTGTTTGCAATTTTTCGTAGTCTAGTTCATCCTGGACTTGCATTCCTTTTCTTCTGTTGACCAACTAGAATATTTATTGCTTTCAACTTTGCAACCAATCTAACTGCAGGTTTTGGTTATCCTTTTTTAATTTCTTCATTTTTGGTTGGTTTATAAGGGAAGAAGTTCATTTCATTCAAGCAACGAGTAAGAGCACGAGTACAAAAGATTAAAGGACGTAGAGATAGAATATAAAGACTATCGAACTCTAACAACCCTAGCAACTGGGAAAACAAGAATGAAAATAATCAGGCTGACCCCACAAAATGCTATACTATACTAAATAAACTCAGCTGGATACCATGAGGCAAAAGATCAGCAACCTATCTATCCTTCTTGCATGGAGATTATCACCAACCCGTTTTGAAACCTTTGTCCCTTTGTGGATATGTGAACCCATATTGAAACCTTTAGTGGTAACCAACTATCAGCCAGATTGAAAAGAACAGAGTAATCCTTTGTAGGCAATGGTCACAACGGTAACCAACTCGCCATTGATCTCCATGTCCTGATAGACTACATTTATCCTGCAAGAAAGAATCTTATACCTGGTGGAGTCACTAGCTCAGTATTGATTTGGTTCATTGTTTTGAGAAATGGTGCATTCTGCAGCAATTTGGGAGTATTTATATAAATATGTATATATATATATATATATTTAACGGGTATAGCGGGGGCGGGGCAGGGGTAAGGGTAAGTCTATCCCCGCCTTCATTCCCGCACGGGTTTATACAAATATCCCCGTATACGTTTACTGTCCAATACGTATGGTCAATCCCCGGTCCAAACGGGACGGATTTGGACGAATACCCGTTTTCCCCTGGTCCATTGCCANATATATATATATTTAACTGGTATAGCGGGGGAGGGGCAGGGGTAAGGGTAAGTCTATCCCCGCCTTCATCCCCGCACGGGTTTATACAAATATCCCCGTATACGTTTACTGTCCAATACGTATGGTCAATCCCCGGTCCAAACGGGATGGATTTGGACGAATACCCGTTTTCCCCCGGTCCATTGCCGNGCACGGGTTTATACAAATATCCCCGTATACGTTTACTGTCCAATACGTATGGTCAATCCCCGGTCCAAACGGGACGGATTTGGACGAATACCCGTTTTCCCCTGGTCCATTGCCATCCCTACACGTTTTATGAAACCAAAAACTAAGTCCCCAATCCCCACTAGCAAAAGATGCCCTACTTAACCTAATCGAGTTGCAACTCATTCCTTATGCTTACACGGTTGGCTTATCCTAATATTGGAACCATTGGACTGTTCATATGATTAACGCTTACCCGTTACATATGGTCTGTTCAATGTGGACTTTTAGCCTCTTGGACCCATTTTCAGCACCTTAGGCAGTAATGGGTCATGAATATACTGCGTCTTGATATCTGAGACATGAGACTTGTGCTTGTTGTAGGCCAAAGTAGACACAGATATGGAGCCATTAAAATACTACACATCTATCATCTCACGGAGTACACCCTGCAACTTATGAGTTCTTCTGATGAGTCTATGTATTGAAATGTTGTGAAATATTACCATGCACTGAAGCAGTTCGCAGAAATGGATGGAAAGCCCTTTCCATTAAGAGAACTGGGTTCCTGTTAGATACCACTTAACTGATGCCATCAATCGCTTCTTGTGACGTTGAGAAGTCATCCATACTAAACTCTGGTGACTTTGAGCTAATTGTGACACTATGATGAGGTTCTAATTTCCAACAACATTAATGAGGCCAAACTGTTCTCTTTATCGCCCCAAAGACAGTGTTGCAAATTCCTCCTCCCTCAAATGCTGATCATGGCATGGCTTCCATAAATTGGTTTCTATAAATGCAGAGATATTTAAAGGGCTTTCCCTATTCATAAACAAAAGGACATAATGCCCCTTTTAAAACATTTGAGATTCTTCTCTCAAATGTTTGTACTTGGTTTTTCAGAATTGCAACACACCTTTGGTGGTTTCATCTGTCATTCAGATTGGTACTTTCCATAATCTATTGTGATTAGTCCCTCTCGCCTTCCTTTCCATTGTAAGAAAACCTTTTCTGAATCGAGGGAAGGAGGTGAATCTCACAGCTCAAGGAGTTCAGCCCTGCTACACTTAAAGTATTTGGCTTGAGTGATGTGAAGCTCTTATGAGGTTTTCCCTTGTCTTCAATTAAGGCATCATTGATTGAAAAAAAAATAAATTTAGGCATCGTTTCTCATGGTTAGATTAATGTGTGCTTATCTATTGAATGACTTTGTGACACGGCACCTTGAGCTAGCTGGATCCCTAACTTAAGCAATGGTGAGATGAATTACCATATTGATTAGGATATATTGATGGATCAATATGAAGTATCTTGGATTTATTTTGGTTTGCATCTGTGCATTGCATTTAATTTTCTTTTTTTTTTCTCCTCCCTTTTGTGGATTTCAGTGAGACATTAGTCATATATCTGAATAGTTTGCCATATGCCTCGATATTATAGTTTTTTGGTAGAACAAGCATTTTGAATCTTATTGTGATGTGCCCCATTAAGAAGTACAAGAAAAAAAAATGCAATAGTTGTTTGGGGTGTGCAAAGACATTTGTGCAATTATGATCACAGAGAATGGAATGTTAGGGCATGCAAAATGTATCAGCATGTCAATCCAAAGTGACGCGGAACTCTGACATGCCAATGCATTTTCGACTCTTATGCAGTAGTGCACAATAAATAATGCTAAGGCTGGATGTTGTTTCACATGGGTTCCGACACTTGCCTAGGATTTCTGCCCTTCAGAAATTGTCATCATTTCTATTGTGTAACCTGGCTAATAATGGGAAAACGTATGGGATTTTAATGGACTTTCTAATATATTTCCCTTCTGGAGAGCAAATGCACTGTAGGTTATGCTGTTTAAAATTATTGGGTGAGAAACTGTCTGCTCATCTTGTTTGATTTTTAGTTTGTTTGAACAGTTCCAAACAGGGAATCTATTTGGTAGTTGCATCTGCAATAACCATAGCTATATGTCATCATCCTAAATCTCTTGTTGCTTATCTCCAAATTTTCTCATACTGGCAAACTTTAACAGGTTGCTCAGGCAACATCCAAACAGATATCCAAACGTGATCCTTTGAGACCCTACATGGATATTATTGATAATATGTTAGTGCAAATGGTATTTCTCCTCGTACATCTTACAAACTGAATTATTTTTAACAAGGTTTAGGTAGTTCACACATTTTAAAATGTTTTTTTTTTTCTGTTCCCCAGTTCAAAGAAGACCCGTCATTCAAACCCCGAGGAGGCCAATTAGGGGAAAATGATATGGACTATGATACAGATGAGAAATCGATGGCAACACTTAGGTGCAATCTTAGGGGAGCTCGGGAGGAGTATTGTCGCTACAAAAGGTAAATTCAATAATGAAGTAAACTATTGGTAGTTTCATCAATGAAGAACAATCTTTTAAAATTTTAGTACTACGGCTCCATTGCCTGCTCTTTGTGGTCCATTGATTATACGTTTTCATTTTATTTTTGCTTGGTAATCTGTATTCTTCATCAGGCTTCACTATTTCCCTCTTTGATTAGTAAAAGCAGATCCATGAAGGGTGGGGTGCAAATGTTCCAAACTTTTTGTATTGAAGTTATAATGTCATTTTTAAATTGGAAAGTTTAGAATCTGATCCACTGGAAATTCATCCTCTTCCTTTCTCTCCTTATAAGCCATATTAGGCACATGGGGTTGTCCTCCAGTCTTCCCTGCCCTCCTGCTCCTGCCACCCGAGTAATAGAATTCAAAGTTCTAACCATGCACAGCTTAATCTATGGGACTGCTAATACCATCAAAAGAAGTCTCACTGCTCTTTTTTTTTTTTCATGTTAAATATTTTTATCAAATACATAACATGTTAATCATATGGTGGGGCTTTTAATGTTTGCGGTTATACCTTGTTCAAATAAATCTTTAGTTGTAAAACTTGGCATTTTTGAATTGTTGTTGTGGCTAAGTGTGGCTTTGCATCACCATTTTACTTTGGCTTACAGCTCTAAGGATGTTGGCTACTATTTTGGAGCTGACATATAACTTCCATTTTGCTTTAGTGCCCCGTGTTGGACATTCTAATTTGTTTTTTTATTAAGTAGTTCAATTCAATTTGGAATTAGGCTTCATTGCGTTTTTTGGGGTAGGATGCTCTCTATATCTGAGTTTAAAGGTGGGTTGATGGTAAAACATGTCTTGTCAAGTTTGCTTTAGTATTTGTGACGCAGAAACATGGTTTGAATCTGCTGTCTCAGTTTGTCCAGGGTGGAAATTCTCAAATTCCTGGCTTCTCATCAACTGCAAAAGGAAGGAGATTGTAATAAGAGNAGTTTGCTTTAGTATTTGTGACGCAGAAACATGGTTTGAATCTGCTGTCTCAGTTTGACCAGGGTGGAAATTCTCAAATTCCTGGCTTCTCATCAACTGCAAAAGGAAGGAGATTGTAATAAGAGCACTGTTGGTATATATAGGCCTGATCTAAGGGTTTGTCCCTACCCAAGAGTGCCATCTAGCTTTGCTAAGTTTGTTTTTCTGAAATAAGATGGACAAATTAACTAGGTTGTAAGAGTTATGTACTGTACTGTACTGATAGTCCCAGTTTGATTTTCCACCTTTTAAGTCTTGTTTCGATAAATACTTGAAATGTTTATTCGAAGCATTATCTTAGTATTAAAATATTTAACATGCCTATGGTTTATAGAACTTTTTTTTCAAGAGAAGGAGGAAGAAAGCAACAGCAGGCATAAGTATGAGAATAATGGCTGCCAGTTCACTATATAGTGTGGTCCAAGAGTGGCTGATTGGTGTTGGTTGTTGTTTTTGCTTCATATATCTAGCTTCGTGGGTTGCATAAACTCATTGTTGAGCTAAGATCTTGCTAACTACAGTTCCGCCAAATCTAAGCAATCCTTTTGCTGTCTTGAAAAAATAGAAACTTGGCTGAATTGATGTGGAATAATCTTTTACAATGAACTGGTGATGTTTTGTTTCTGCTAGTCATTAGAAGCGGAATAGTTTTTGGAACAAAGATTGCTGCAGTAACTCTCAATCCTGTTGTGACCAGGTTTCAGCCTGGCAACCTTATGATCACTTACAAATTTTGTGACTTTAATTACTTCTATAAAACTACACAATTCAGTGTAATGCAAAAGAGGATGAAGGGAATATTAGTAATATGAAAGCATTGATCTTGAACTTGCAGCTAAGTATAGGACCATTAATTGTAGTTACGTCCACTCGTTTTGGACCTATTTTCTCCTGCAGGGCTACTTATTTATAATTGCGGGACAAACTATTGGTGCTCAAATAGTCACTCATAGCCAAAGATCAAAATTTCGTTTTGGTGCATCGTTTCAGTCATTAGGAAACGAAAACGTTTCGACGAATTTTGAAAATGTTTCAACTCGTTTCAGAAACAATGAAAAAAAAATAAAATTAAGAATTATATTTTTAAAAGNGGTGCTCAAATAGTCACTCATAGCCAAAGATCAAAATTTCGTTTTGGTGCATCGTTTTAGTCATTAGGAAACGAAAACGTTTCGACGAATTTTGAAAACGTTTCAACTCGTTTCGGAAACAATGAAAAAAAAATAAAATTAAGAATTATATTTTTAAAAGATTAATCGAAATATACCAAAATATCTTGAAAACATTCCGAAACAATTGTAAAAATTTCTCGAAACATTACAAAACACTTCAAAGTATTAGAATTTCGATTCCATTATTGAATCATTTCGGTCTCCATGGAAATAGAAACGTTTCAAAATAAAATTTTGATCCTTTCTTATAGCACATGAATTGATGCCTGATGCGGGTTCTGTTCTTCATTAGCTGCTTTATGTAAAGCCGAAGAACATGAATGACGTGACCTGGCTCTTTAGCATTTTCTTGAACAACACATGGCATGCAAAATTCATAAACTACAGTTTCCTATTCATTCGTCTACAGTAAATTTTGCTACCGTAGATAAGAAAGCGAGAGGGAGAAACAGGCAAGAAATGGGGAAATCCTAGAGAATCTACGAGCGTTGAAACGTCAAGGAGAGTAAAAAGAGAAGAAAGAAATGAGAGAAAACTGAGTTGGTTATTTCTCCTCTCTCTTTCCTACCTTTGAGGTTTCAAGGCTCCTAGATTCTTTAAGATTTCCCCCATTTCTTGTATGTTTCTCCCTCTCAATTTTCTTATCTACGGTAATCCAAATTTACTGTAAATGAATGGATAGAAACTGTAGTTTATTAATTTTGCAGGCCATGTGTTCGATAAAATGTTAAAGGGGCCACGTTACATCNAATCCAAATTTACTGTAAATGAATGGATAGAAACTGTAGTTTATTAATTTTGCAGGCTATGTGTTCGATAAAATGTTCAAGGGGCCACGTTACATTATTTTGGTATCAAATCTAGGTTACATCATTGAGCCCCACTGATGTGTGTCATCTCCTTTGGCTTAGATTGATTTCCTATTCNAAGGGGCCACGTTACATCATTTTGGTATCAAATCTAGGTTACATCATTGAGCCCCACTGATGTGTGTCATCTCCTTTGGCTTAGATTGATTTCCTATTCTATCCAATCCAACCACCAAATTTGACCTTGTTTTTGATAGAGTTCAAGTTCTGATCATTGTTTTGGTGCAAAGAGGGCTTAGGTTTGTGGCTGCTCAATAGGTGCAATTTTAGACCCTTTTAAAGAACTCGCTGTAGTTAAAACTAATGTAGATAGCTTGAGATTGCAAAAGTTTATCTAGGCTTTCGTAGACCAAAGAAAATTGATTATCTGAAGTAGATGAAATTACTGACCGTAAAAGATTCTTAAAGATGTGTATTTATATTCGGGTTTTTGGAATCTTCATGATATCCCCTTAATGATTCTAGAACTTCTCAATCTTGGTGCTACATACTACTTCAGAAACTTAAGTTACCGTCACATGGTCACTTACTAGGTTCATAAGTGCTGGTTTTGCTTGGTCAAAAAGCTAAAAATGAAAATCGGAGTAGTTTAGGAATCTTGAATAGAAATAAAAGAAAGCAAACGAAAAAATATAAAGACACACATATGCACCCACAATCTTGAACAGACCATGTTACTTAAAGACACACATATGCACCCACAATCCACAGATCCACATCCACCATTCTGGCCAGTTGTTCAAACCCGACTAGCTAGTGTTCTATCCTGCATCATTGGAGTTTCTCTCATTTCGTTGTAGTTTTCCCTGAAGCAACAGCTGTGCTGTTCTGATTTCATTTCAGTTTTTGATGTAGGAAAGTATGTAAGTTCACCTCAGTTCTTTTAGTACTGGAAAGTAAAAAATTGCAAGCTATCATTCCATAGCTTGAATGAGTAGCTGCATTGTATCTACTTAATTATTATTATTATTTTTTTTTTGCAGTGAGTATTTGACGTATGTCAGGGAGGCCCTTGAACTGGAAGATACGATGAAGAATTATGAACGACGCAATGCGACCGGATGGTTTCCTCCAAATTCATTATTCTTCAATTTTTTTACTTTAATCTCCCTTTTCAATTTGGCTATTTGATGTCGGCATCAAATGATTTATCCTGATTTTGAATGTGCTTGAAGGAACTTTATATACAACATATATATGTGTTTATGCTTACCAATTTAACTGTCTTCTATGAAAATCAACTTGTGGTTGTTGATGTCGAATTAGGATATTTTCTATGCTTATGAAACTGATTGCAAATGAATTTGTNATCAAATGATTTATCCTGATTTTGAATGTGCTTGAAGGAACTTTATATACAACATATTTATGTGTTTATGCTTACCAATTTAACTGTCTTCTATGAAAATCAACTTGTGGTTGTTGATGTTGAATTAGGATATTTTCTATGCTTATGAAACTGATTGCAAATGAATTTGGTTCAGGCCTGGTGCTGGAGCGCCTTTCATATACATTTAACTAATATTAAGAATGAAGTTGAATCACATAGCATACAGACTATAATCAAAAGCTTCCTCTAACAACCCACTCTGACCATATTCAATTCTTGACATGAAGGATATTATTAGACAAACTACCGCATTCTACTCTGGGTCTATTTGGGTTCGTCTGATAAGGTTGAGATATGATCATATACTACCAGCTCCCATGCTTGACCAGTATCGTCAATTCGTATGTTATATTGTTTACCCTTGTGTTGTAAGTTCCCGAGACCACATGACAGGGCAATAACGCCAAAGTTTCTCAATTCATATTTTGTTAGTCTGCTCGAGAATGTGTGTCAGGTCTGGTCCATGGAGGCATGTCACTTGCTTGTCATTTCAAGCTTTGATTCTTAACGGTGGTTTTATGCACTATGGATTTCTTATAGTTGTGATGCTTAGCTTTCACACTTAGGCTGGTTGTCTGCTGCATATTTATTTTTATGGTAGTTACTAATTTCTTGATGAACCCCGAAGAAGTCCAAAATTTGGTTTATTTATCTCATTGGGCATATGTACAAAGGTGCATATGTAGTGTCTGCTGGACCTTTTTATCCAGTTTCTGTTTATTTAATTAGTATTTGACCGCTTGTTTACACTGATGTATTTCAAATACCTTCCATGTATCTCTTTCTTTTCACATGATCATCCAGTTCTTCTGGGATAATTTTGCAGACATAGAAATGCATACTTTCCTCAAATTCCATCAAAGTGATGATTGATCATCATTGTACAAATATGGATCTGATCTACTGAAGTACTTGCTGTTAATTTTTCCTGCACACTTAAAAACTTTATGAAATTCTACATAACTACGATATATTTAGCATTTTTTGGGGGAAATGTGCTCCAACCTCCCCCACCCAAAAAAAAAAAATTCAGTAAAGCCTGGTTGCTTTAAGGTCACGTTTGTGTAGTGAACCTGGGATTACACTTTGCTTTCCTGGTTTTGTTACTCTAAATTTTGTTCAAGTTCTTGAAATAGAGAATGCATGCCTAGATGCACCCGTGGTGTTGTACATCCTTGTACCTTTCTCATCAGTATACCATAGTTATCTTGAGCTAAGTGCTTGTTACTACAATATATTACTTGGAACTTCATGTTTTCCTGGTTGATGCGTTCTAAATATTAATCAATCCCGTTATCTTTGCAGGAAATTTGTTTCAAGTTTCAGCTCCGAACGGTCTGGCACATTAGGATCCTTCTTTGACACTATAGGTAATTACTGGGGCTGTTAATTTTTTTTTTTGGTTTGGATTTCTCACTGTCTGCAGTGAATATGATTCCATACAAATTTAATCGCCCTCAAAAAGAAACGAATATGTCTGAATAATAATTTGTGGTCTGTGCAATATGTAGTTGAGGTGATGGTTTATTTTCATGGAAGACCTATCTGTTTTTACTTTTATTCCAAAAGTAAACAGTCAGGGAGAAATAAGAATTCTTCATTTGTTTTGGTGAGTCAGGTTTTTATGGTAGGTGTTAGCTTTGGGTTCTAGGATGACAATTTTTGAAAACATTGAAAATCGAGAAAAATCCTAGTCCTATTTCTCCATTCGCTCTACTGTAGGATTCTTTTCAATTGATATCAGAGCCATTATGTTGTAAGGCTTTAAAGGCTGGAGTGGTTTGTATCCTTCAAGAAAAATCACTCCATGCCACAGAATCACTTGTCCTAGTACCTCTGACACCTTTGGTGAATTCAGGATGCCATAGCTTTAGTAGCTTAGAAAAACTTTAGATTTCTAAATTTTTGGAGAATGGTTTTGGAGATCCCAATAGTTTGAGCAGATCACTTACCATTTTAGCTTTTCCTTTAGGGAAGACTTATCCGAGGATATTAGACTTGCATATACCTAGTCTTTTCTTTCTTCAGGTAGTGGAACTTAGAGAGAGCAAGTACAAGTCTCAACATGCATTGGATTATTCAAGAAGGTTCAAGGGAAAAAAGGTGGTTCAATTGAGTCAAGGGAACTAGTCAAAGTCAAGACTAGGGAAACTTTGTAATTCGGATGAATCCAAACGAAAAACAGAAGCAGTGCCTAGGTTAGTTAAGACACAATTTTTAATTTAGGCACATTTCACTCATGGTTGGCTGGCCTATTTGTAATTTTTGGAACAGGAGTGATCAACCGGCAAACTGGCCACCACTATGGCTAGCATCCCGATCAATTAGGTGTGGCGGTTTTTAAAAGAATGGCCGGCCATTGGCTAGTTGTTGCATCCACAGTCACACCCACACCACTAAATATTCAATTCAACTCAACATGTGATACTTGATGGTGGTAAGAGTTAAAACTTCCCATGCATGTAGAAGATCATTGGTAGATTACAGGTTAAATCTACCATTTGTGTCCTTCATCCATGGGAGCACAGCTATAAACTTTCAGAAAGATTGAGTGGGCTGTTACACTCACCTTGAGCAAGGTAGTATTCTCTCTAATCTTTGTATTATTGCTCATTCAGTTAGCCACACGTTAGTCTTGCACACTTTAGAAGACATTTGCTCTAGGCGGGGCTTCTAAGTTCTCGAATTTGTGATTTTATGATGGGTGGAGATAGCGATAGTGGATAGGTGGTAGGTTAGCTTAGAAAATCTTCACCAAATCCTTGATTGGGGTCTTTGGAGGTGGGTTTGTTGATCGACCCATTTGTGATTGACAATCTTGTTGGGATTTTCTTGAAATCTCGTTATAGTGCAATGACGGGTACCTTGATGGTAGGAAGAGTGAAGATACATTGCATTAAGAGACAACCATGTCACTATATATGTGATCTTGTTCCTTGTTAAATAGTGTTGTGGCAGACATGTTTGATTCAACAAAGGGTATCATGTCTATTTAAATATCTTGGTTGATTTGAGTTTTAAAACTATGACTTTGAGCAAATTTNTTGTGATTGACAATCTTGTTGGGATTTTCTTGAAATCTCGTTATAGTGCAATGACGGGTACCTTGATGGTAGGAAGAGTGAAGATACATTGCAATCAAGTCACGTGGATTATTTGATGTTGTACTTGAGTTCTGGATTAAAAAATGTTTAAAGGCTCACAGTTGTGTTTAGGACATTCGGAAATTGAATTACTGCTGATTTGGAACAAAAACAGAGTCTGAAATGAAAACTTGAGTCTTGAACATCTGGAAAATCAACTGACACTGGACCTAGCTAATTGGACCTAGTCTACTGGCTACTACAAAATTAGCTTTTTGCCCTAGACTTTCACAGACTAAATCTTTAGGATTTTTAATATCTCATCACTTGTACATCTCACCACACAAACAATAAAACGAGTTCAAAAAATAGGCAATGGACTTCGAAAAAGTCGAGAATCAAGAAAAATCCAAGTGGAATCCTGTTCCCTCTTCCCCTTCTTTTTCTAGGACTCCTATTGGATGCTAATTGATGAAAACTTCTGCAAATTTTGCAATTTTTCTTGCACATATAAGATCCATTTTCTGTTTAGGCTTAATTTGGTCAAAGTAATTTTGTTCCTCCATGCATTTACCTCTGTTGCGTTATTTTTATATAATAGACATGACAGGATCTATTTGATCACGATTGTTACCTTATATGGTTCATGGTCCCTTGCAGAATTCATCTGGCGATGTGTTTTGAGGAAGCAACTGGAGAAATTTTTGGCGGTCATTGTTGGTTGCATGTCAGTTGCAATTCTTTTAGCAGAGGCAACTTTGTTGCTTAGTGTTGATTTATCCCTTTTTTCAATTCTCATAAAATCTGTAGGCAAGCAAGAGGTGTTCGTGCAGGTATGCACTTTTTATTGCAGTGAACATTTTTCCTTTGATAAAGACTTTTTTTGCTACAGTAGACTATTATGTCACTCCAGTCTTTTTGTATAAAGATCATGATATTTGGCCACCATGGAATTTTTTTTAATGAATTGGTGTGCTCGTGTCTTCTCTGTCTCTGTATTTCTGCACCATTAAACATGTGTATAATCATTATGTGGACATGCCAAGCTAACATGCAGTGTTTGGTACGTCTACCTCTACCAAATTAAATTATAACAATGCTGTTTTTTAAACACTGATGATAAAGGTCAATGGTAACCTTTGCTTGGGCCATTCATAGGCTTTTTGAGTGCCAACCATGCAAATATGCATCTTTATTCCCAAGCGTCTGGTGGTCAGATAAATTGTGGTTCCATGTTCTTGAACTCTGTTTTATATCTTCTAATTAATTTAAACATAATAGAAAGGTGAGTGGTGCTGGAGGAGTGCATAGAATACTTGCCTACTTGATATCACTAAATTAATTTAAGTCTTTCACATAAAAACACTAGACTATGTACTACAATACCAAATTGAGTAGGCCGTTCTTGGGAAACTCCAGAGTGGAGAGTGTTGCCTAGGAGTTATTTTTCGGTCAGAAAAAGTTTCTAGAACTTTGTATGCTTAGGGGTTGTATGCTAGAAGATCTATTGCCAGATATTTGGGTAAAAGGACATTTTGTCTCAAATTCGTATGGTGCGCCCAAAAGTAGGGCAAATCACTGACCATATAAACAGCATATTCTGATGGCTCAACTCAATTGAATTAATAGAACACTTTGACATTTAGCTTACTAGATTGCTCCAGATTATATATTCGACTGTTAATTTAAAATAGGAAACTGACAAATCTTGACTTGATAGAATGTTCTGGACCTACTAGGCAACGACTTATAAAGGTTCAATAATATTATTTGACCCAAAAGAATTCCATGGATATGCTTCTGACCAAACAAAGGACAATTATGACATCGATAGTAAGCTTTGTAGCTTTTTACGACTCCAATAAAGATAAAATGTGGAATGAATGGCTTCAATATTTCTCGTTTGGTTCGTCAAATTTTGTGTACCACATGTTTGTATGTTATGCTCTAGTTGCTGCTTTGCTTATTTTAATGAAGTTCCTCTTATTAACCAAGGAAATATGGGTTAGTTGTTTGAAAGAATGTTACCCAAACTTGATGTTGCTTTGCATATGTTAAGTAATGTAGGACCANGTTTGTATGTTATGCTCTAGTTGCTGCTTTGCTTATTTTAATGAAGTTCCTCTTATTGACCAAGGAAATATGGGTTAGTTGTTTGAAAGAATGTTACCCAAACTTGATGTTGCTTTGCATATGTTAAGTAATGTAGGACCGGAGGACCTCCCTTAAGACAATAGAAGGTGGACTTTTGTGGCCTGAAATGGTGCTGATGAACAGTGATGTTAATAGTAATTTGTGGTTGATTTAAGGCTGTTTTGGTAGGTTATGGATGACGAATTGTGAGGTTGAGTTGAGCTTGTTCACTTATGTTTTAAGAGCAAAATCAAGGTGGCTCAGATCTGATTCTTAGCCTTCAAGAAGGGTGAGAAAGGCTGAAAATTAATAACAAAAAGAAGAAGAAAAATCTAGCGAAGAAAGCATAGGAGTCAAATAAAGCTAGGGTTCTTTCTTCCTAAAGTCTATTTCAATCTGCATCACTGGGTCAATGAAACAAACTCAAAAGAAGTGGGACAAAACTTTGAAGATGATGGGATGTCCAAAAGTAACTAACACAATAATTCTTGATTACCCTGAATGACTGGGCTCTAACATAAAGGATAGATTGGGTTCCCACACACAGCTTTGTTTATGTGGTTTTGGGACCGTGGAGACTCATCACAGCATTTATTATGACAAGTAGGATGATTTGTTGTGCATCTTTAATAAACTTATAAACTACTTGGACGAATTCTGAATCTTTTGTTTGATCATTTATTTTATGCCTAATTTTCTTTTCTTGTTTTTGGGTTTATAAGTGTTATTTAGTGTCTTCACTCGATTTGTCCAAACAAGTTACTGAAGTATAATTGTTGTGCTTTTCATGGGTTGGAAAAATATATGCCCCACCTTTACCTTAAATACTACTGACTCCCTGATGCATGATTTTTAATGGTTGATTTTCTTGACAGTAGATCTGCCAGTGGAAAGACACTCTAGTTTGTCTTAGTCAATTCATTTTCTGACCCATTCTCACTTCTGCCCGTCTTCACTATCGAGCCATATTTTATTAAGTTTGACATACCACTCTAATTGGATCAAATTGCATGATTGCCTTTTTACAGTGTATGTGGCATATTTCCGTATGCAATACATCTATGCCTGTGGAGGATTAACATAACCATACTTCCCATATGCAATAGCCCTTGAAGGTTTAAAATAACCATACAATGCTGTTACTATCGTTCTTTCAGCTTATAGTTTGTGAACCATAAACCAACACAATTCACCTTTTTGATGTCTGCTACTCTGCTAGTTATCTTTATATTTCCAATTCTATGATAAGTGTAATGTCTCTTCTAAAAAGTGTAATTTAATTGGTGCTTTTCTTTTCTCCCTGGCTTTAGGTCTTTGCTTTTGTTCCCCTGATGTATATGTGCGTCTGCACATACTATTCATTGTTCAAGGTTGGAATGCTAATGTTTTATTCATTTACACCTAAACAAACCAGCTCAGTCAGCTTGCTTATGATATGCTCGTAAGTGTTTTCTTGAACTTTGTTCATTGATATTTCCTTTTGACAGAAAGGTCATAATAAGACTTCATTCTAACTACTCTGCCAGGATGGTAGCTCGGTATGCACCTCCAATTTCATACAATTTCCTCAATCTCATTGTCCTTGGTGAGAAGAATAAACCTAAGGAAACTATTTTTGAAAAGGTAAGCCTCCCTTCTATTGTGTCCTTTGGTTGTGAATTGTTAACTCACTGGTCACATTCGTTTTTTTTTAAGGCCTGTAATATACCTGCATCCGGTGATTTTCATATGATTTTGTTTTATTGTTCCATGAAATTGAAAGAGGAAAGAAAAACTAGAATTCCACTGGGCATATAATTTGAAATATGCTGGTTTTGGTGTTGGTTATCATTTAATGAACCAGATGGATAGATATTCCTCTTCTGGGAAGTAGAAACAGGATCTGTGAGGGGAAGCCATTATTGGAGTTTGCAGAATCTTGTTTATGAACTTGAAAGAAATTCTTGCTCAAATATTGTTGTTGGTGTCTAAGGAACTTCTCCTTCTATGCTGGAAAAGCATAAGAGAGTAATTTTTATTTTCCCTTCTTAAACATTGATTCCTATAATTATTTCTACAGGCATCAGTAATCTCTCTCCCCTCTCTTCGTCCCCTCCCTATTTTTCTGCCTGCAGGGTTTCCCACAGTTATGACATGATTCGTTTGACATAATTCTTCATTATCTATCCTTTACTGTGTATCCTTTGTTCCACCTCCACTTTGTATTTAACTGGTAATATGATCATTAATCAAAACTTTTGCTCTTAATGACCTACTAATAGGATTAATGAACCAATCTAATGGACCATTAAGGGTGTGTTTATATACCTGGTGGCAACTTTAAAGACTGGGGGAATGACATACTGGTTTCTTGTGCAGACATGAGATAAAGAGCAAAAGAAAGTGGTAATTTCAAAATAATGTTAGCACAATTTCTGGTTTAATATATGTTGTATAAATTCACTGTCTTTGTTTCCCCAGCTTGCTCTTATGAATAATACTCTAGAATTGTGAGCTAGAACTTTAGATTATGAATGGTTTTCAAATGGGAAATTAGTTCTTGAATTGGTGTTTTGTGTTACCTACACCCATACTTGGTGCCCTATGTTTAATAATATTTCATCAATGTTTGATGTATTTATGATTGCAGCGTATGGGAAACATTGATCAAGCTGTCCCTTTTTTTGGGAGTGGATTCAACAGAATCTATCCACTTATGATGGTTATATATACACTGTTGGTTGTGAGCAACTTCTTTGACCGGGTTATTAATTTCTTTGGAAACTGGAAGATATTTAGATTTCAAACTGAGGCAGATGATATGGATGGTTTTGATCCATCAGGATTAATTATATTGCAAAAAGGTAAGCCTATATAGACTTTGTTGCTGCAATATTTTATGTGGTCTAGACTTTGGAATATTAACATTTGAGGTGTTCATCTTTTTGTTGCTCGAAGTACTTAACAAGGTTGTATTAGTTTGTTCTCCATGCTGTCGAGCAACCCCCTTTTTTAATTATATGCTAGAATATTCACCATCCCTTTTTTCCAGAAAGAACTTGGCTTGAAGAAGGGTGCATAGTTGGTGAACATGTTGTTCCACTGGCTAGAAATTTCAACGATGTGGCCATAGATGTGGAATCTGGTATCAAAAGCACGGTATGTCTACATACCTTGAGGACGACTCACAATACATTCCCCCTCCCCTCTTTTGGTGTCATCATTAAAACAAGTTGAAATACCCAGTTTGTTATACATTTCAGAATTTATTGATGATTGTGGACTAAGAAATTCTTCCATTCATCAGTGGCTTGACTGGAATTTCTCTACCATGTTTTTCTCTATGTAATTTCCTTTCCTTTCTGAACCTCATTGGTTGGGTGATAGTTTACATCTAACTAGAAAGTATTAATATCCAGGATAGGAATGGTGTCGAAATGAAGGCAACCACCAATTTAACCAAGGACAATTTGAAGGGAAGTTCATCAAAACCTCTGAAAGATGAGGTCCGTAGATATGGAGGGAGTAAAGAAGTCATCAGCAGCAAATATGCTGCCATGAGAGAACAGACCATACAAGCATCCAACATGATGCCAGTGGAGAATATAGCCTCTGCTAAAGTGTCTTTGCTTGATGCAGGGAGATCTCCGTCTAGCGAAAGTCCAGGAGTTCCAGCTGGTTTAGCCTCAAAATGGGCATCAATGAAATCTGGTTTTCAAAGTTTCAAGGCGAACGTAGCTGCCAAAAAATTAATTCCTTCTCGCCAACTTCAGGACGCCAATCATCTCACTCGTGTGTCCTCGTCTGAGTCCCTTGATGAGATATTTCAAAGATTGAAACGACCTGCTTTAGAACATTCTAGTCGTAGGGATGAGGACGGCGATGAGATTGACATGGGAGTTTCAAGGCCCACCAGATAATGTATACGGTTTACTCGACTTTCAAGTAAATGGAATGTAGTTGCCACTGATTGTCACAAGATGTACAGATCCCAGAGAAGGGATTATACGAATTTCTTACCCACTCTCTGAACTTTATAGTAAATGGAATGTACTTGTTACTCATGGTGAAGATCAGTCAACAATCTCATTTTGTTATAAAATTCATTAGTGAGTTGTAATCTCACTTATTTTGTAGTCACTTTGATACGGTACCAATTTTTTTTCAATACCATTGTTTTTGCTAGAAAAACTTAATAATGGAAGCCCTAATCACTGACTCATTCTCTTCTCTCCTTGTCTTATAGCTTGTGGGATCAATTGCTTCCATTTCTTAGTCTTTTCTCTCTGGGAAACTGGCAAACTCTTTATTTTTTTTTTCCTTTCATTTCTATCAACTCCTGATTGAGATGGTTTGTACACATTTGTGGAAACTGATTCCCAAGCCTGTGGAATTATGCTCTACATGATTAAATGAAAGAGTGGAGAGGAAAATTGTTTCAAATGCCAATCTCCTTTTCCTCTTCCCATAAAAAAAGAAGACATATTCCTACCTGAAGTGGACAAGTTTCATGAAGCAGAAATGTACAAGTCCACAGGGCCCTTTGGACATACATGGCCACTGGATTACACCAACAGCCAACAAATACCTAATGCATTGTCCTTTGTAGTGGTGTATGCTATTTGGCATAAGCACTTAGGTTTGTTTAAAACACCCGTCAAATAATTTATGAGTGTATTTTGCAACATCTTGTTGGCTATCTTGTTGCTGTCAATCTCAATGTCAAAAAATCCAAAACTGGACCAACTTCTTCCAAGTTTATTGAATTCAGATTAAAATTTAAAATTTAAATGAACTATCGTAGTTAAAAGGCTAAAAGATATAAATCGTTGGATCGAAACGATCTAGGTCGTTGTTATGCTTTTCTAACTGAGGAGCTCAAGCAGGAGGCTCTGTTTTATTAATATAGATACCATACTTGGACGCCAAAATTTTGAAGTCCTTGGACTGTAAATTTTTTCTTTTCTAAATGGCACATCTTATTTCTAGATTGACATGCTGTCCATTGTTGCTGTAGAGGTGTCAATTGAGTCGTTTCACATTAGTTTTGGATCGTATTATCTTAAATACAAGTCGTTTCGTATTCGTATCATGTTCATCTTATGTTTGTGTCTTTAAACTAGAAACCGCAAGGGTAGGACCGCCCTTTCCTGCAACCAAATTTACTACACATAGGTCCGAATTATTTACTAGTTTGTGGTGATTTTGTTTCACTACGATACTTTTGAACTTATTTACCAAACTATGGTACTTTTTAAAAACGGGATTGTTGACTCTACTTTTCAATAACACCATTTCATAAAAATTACCATAGTTTGATAAATAAGTTTATAGTGCCCTAGGTTAGTGATTTTGTTTCAAAATCTGTTGTAGATTGATAAATATTCTACTTGATTCACATTATAACCTGATCAAAAGAAAAATCGTTTGATTCTACAACGATTCGTGTAATCACTAAACTAAGAAATGGAAGAAAAAAAAATAAAAAATCAAGCATTTCTATTTACAAACGGGATTGTTATATCCAAATTAGATTATATTAACGTAATATTAACCAGACTCATTTATTATTCAAATTAATTAGTGGTGTCGTATAAATTCCTGTAAACTGACACACGGTGTAGAAAATTTTAAGTCTTGTCTTGTTGGGTGGCCACTGGCCATGGCTATGGTCAAAGTGACAATTTTCTTACGGTTGTTGTTCAACACACGTGATGCATGAAAATGACATAGTCGATGGCCAGATTTCGATTCAAACACTAACTTTGAAACAGAAGAATATTAGACTTAAATTGGCGTTCTTGGACTCTTACGACTGTAATATGATATTAGCTAAAGAGGAATTGAAATTCTACATCGGCAAGATTTTTAGGCTTTCATCCACCCATCCAAAAGTGAAGTCTTTTTGAGGTGGTGATTAGACTTGGACTTGAACTTAGACCTTATTGATTTTCTTGTATTCTTATAATGTAATATGATACTGAATAAAATATGTTCAAAATTTACGTGTATTTTCTTGTGTGTGTGCATACGAAATAAAAAGATTTAGCGGTAATATGAGAGTTTCTATAACAAATGAAGGCAAAAGAATCACACATAAAAACAAACAAATTTTAGTGAAAAAAAAACCCATGACTAAGAAAAAAATCATAATATCACACCAAATCCACTCATTTAAGATGGTATCGTGTGAAACTCATATTTAAGATGGCCATTTGTTTATAATCACTTTATATCACAAATAAGAGAATGCGTGGAACGTGATATTGTCGCATATTAATTTTTACAGTTGTAAGTATATATATATTTTTTAGATATTATGATCCAAACTAATTTTTATTTTGATAAGTTTTTTACAACTAAAAATTTGATTATAACATAAGGAATGACTTTGATTATAACATGGGTCGTTTGACTCCCTCAAAATAAAATCCTCATTTCTTTTCCCTAATTAGAACTATAAATAATTGCTACGAATTTACAAAAGCACATTATTGTCAAACGTGGACAAACAATTACTCTTTCGAACTCATCGATTGTTTTCGAACTTAACAATTGTTTATCGTAATTTGAGTTGGATTAAAATATATTACTAAAAGGACAATAATGACTAGTTCTTAGGGGATGTGAAAAATAATTGAATATGATATTTTTAAGTTATCAAAAATCAAACTCAACCATTGAACTACTATATATATATATATATATATTTAACTCTCATTTATTTCTAACCATCTAAATAAGACTTGGTTCCACTCAAAATTGATTGTCCTCAAACTTGAAAATCAATTGACCGAGCTGAGTATTGTTTTAGTTTCTAAAATTGCAAGTTTCTTTGCCTCACTTCCACGGATCTTTTATCAATTATCAAGTGATAAGATTCTATCATTTAAAAGCGAATTACATTTGTGACACAACAACGGTTTTCAAGATTTAGTAATATCATGAGCAAATGCTCAGATTTGGAGCATGGATTTGAAAATCATTTTCTAACAGAGAAAAATGAAACATAATCGAATGAGTCGGAAGGAAAGTCTTAAATGTAACCTTGATAATTTTGAATCCCTAGCGACGAATTTTGCGACGAATTTTGCACTCTCGTCTTTGTTACCACAATTTTTATGATTTCATGGTAATTTCACAGGCACAAACTAACTTGTTTGTTTTCGATTCAACTCATCTCAACTAAACTTTTATTATAATTATTTAGATCATCTAAAATAAAAGCAGATCGACAAATATTATTATAAAATCAGCTAGTTATTGCTACTCTTAGTGTATAACCATTATCTGCTGACTGCTGAGGGAAAAAAAAAGAGGAAAATTCCAGTTTCCACATTCATCATCCTTAGCACAGAGATCAAAAAAGCAATATACAACAAAACAGCTTGTTCTTGTTTTTCTCTGATTCGTCAGCTATTACTCAAAGCTTTCTAATTTTACAGTCCTTGAATGCATANATCCTTAGCACAGAGATCAAAAAAGCAATATACAACAAAACAGCTTGTTCTTGTTTTCCTCTGATTCGTCAGCTATTACTCAAAGCTTTCTAATTTTACAGTCCTTGAATGCATAAAAACCTTCTTAGTGCTCTTCCCAGTCGACCGAAGCAGCTTTGACCAGAATCCTCCTCTCTTCTTGCCACCCGAAACTTCCCCAGTTCCGCCTCTCGCCACCACCGCCATCGACCTGCTCTTTCTCAGCACACCGTTTTCAGTTACTTCAAAAGAGATCGAACCCACAAGAGCCGAAGGTATGCGATGATGACCACGATGAAGAGGAGACATGTTTGTGGAAGAAGAAGCAGAAGAGTAGTAATTAGCAGCTGGTGATGAAGAGAGAGAAGAAGAACATGAAGAAGTAGAAGCCCTGTTCCTTTTGGTTCTTGAAGAGGAAGAAAAAGAAGAAGAAGAAGAAGAGGAGGAGCCACCATAGAGCCTTAAGAGTTTTTCTCTGAGACACGAAGAACAAACACCCGGTTGTTGCTGGTGGGTTAAGTGCTTCTTGCATCCAATTTCTGATTCAAACAGAGCCATTGGATTGGAGAAGTCTTTGAGTTTTTTTGATCTCTATCCCTCTCTCTCTCTCTCTTTGTCACACACACACACACACACACACTTCTCCCTCTCACATCCAGACACAGTCCTCTCTCTCTGTTTCTCATACTGGTTTTGCATGGAGTATATGCAGATGGATTTATAGATAGACACAAAACGTGTTTCCACGATGGCTCGTGTGAATTTGGGCCATGCTAGGATCACAGCCGGCTGGGACCACATTGGCGGTGGTGACGCACTACTGTTAATTAAATGCAGTTTGCTGGGGAGTAGTCGGTGAACTTGTCGGTTACGGGTTTTCAAAGATGTACGGCAGAAATTTGGCCTTAGCTCCATAACGGTGACAGCCAGATTTAATTGGTACAAATGACAATGTTAGATAGGGAGCCTTAGTGGCTCTAGTTCAACCTTCCAACCTACGTAGAAATAAAAATACTGGTGACAAGAGATGTCACCGTTTTTGGGCAACAATTTACACAGAAAATTTTATACCGAGTTTTACACCATATTGTTTTTGCAGGCAACGATTTTTGATTAAAAAAATCAGAGAAAGTGATGAGTGGCAACGATTTTTAAAAATGTATAATTTTTGATTGATTATGTGCATCACTTGACACGATCAAATTGTTTGTTAAACTCGTACAAAAAGTTTTCTTGGCCTACTTTTGAAAGTTTTCCATTTGTTGTACAAAAATATATTGTTATTGCTGAAGTAAACTCAATCGACAAATAGTTTTAAGGCGATTGTTTGTGATGAGTTCAACTATCTTATTTCAAGACGTTCTTTGATGAATTTTAAGGAGATAATCGCATAGTACAATGAACTAATAAAATAAATTTCTTTTGTTAATCCAGTCGAAGAG